ACTCATATTCTTTTTTTCACCAAAGATCTCAAATGCAAACTGCACAAGTCAAAGTTTGAAATGAATACCATGTGTGTGAATACGAGCAAAGTGCCAGCATGTGAGAGATTTAAGAAAAACAAAATCTGCAGTTGCCATTAGTCTCTAGAATAGTGTGTGTGTGTGTGTGTGTGTGTGTGCGCGTGCGCACTTGTCTGTAGGGCCCTAATGAATTGACAGAAACCTTGGTTGGTGACACCTCACTGTGATGTCTCCACTAGGTAGGATCAGGAGGTATAGCAGGATAATATCATAGAAACCCCAGAAAAACACCAGTGGGAAATCTTTGCCATTCTAGGAGAGCTGCTTACAGAATTTGGGTTACTGCAGGTCAGACACTGGAAGTCAAGTCTAGGCCAAAGGAGGAAAACCATTCCATGTGTGTTTACTGAGTGCCCCCACGATTCAGACTCTTTAAAGGTTAACATACAACATTTTAACACAAAAGGCATAATGACGCTATTATTACTGCCAATCCACCTTTACGTTTGTGCTTGGGTGTTAAAAAGGAAGGGCAATAAAGGTTTCTGTGTCCCTCCAGTCCTGTAATATTCATCATAATCCAAGATGAAGGACCAAAGTCAGTTTGAGAGAGTGCACTTGTCTTATTTCAAAATTCACTTGCATCATTAGATGTACTGTTAATGATCTCCCAGGCAGATGTGAATGTAAACACGTGTCAGCTTAGTCTAGACGGATTTGAGTTTGACCAAGTCATTACTTGATCAGACACACCATATGTTGTGTGAGCAGTTGGAGAATGTATTCATTAACCTTTCTCCAGTGTTGATGTTAAGTAGACATGAGAAGGAAACCCCAGCGTAGCCTTCTGAGTCTACAATTTGATCCCTGACGTTGATGCTCTCCATTCGTTATGTGGATTTAGTAAAGGAATTCTTTATCTGAAAAAAAGTCTCCTGAAAGTGCCTAGTAGAATACTAATAATTTCAGCTATAATTCATCACCTCCAGTTCCATGAAATAGAACAGGAGGACAGTTGCTTTTGTGTGTTGAGGGCTGTTGGGATGAGACGGTTTGTATCGTGGTTCGGCAATGCAGTGGGTGAGTGTGGTCCTGTGTTGTAGAATGTGCGATGCATGTTATGACTTTAGACTTTAGCTGTGAGAGGTTGGGAGTTGGTAGGCTGATCTTTTTTGTGGCTGTATTGGTTATTTTTGTGATATTGTTCCGTTTTTTGAACGTGAGCATAGTCATAAAACAGGATAAACAGTAGATGAGAATAGGCTGGATGATGCTGGTGTTTAGTAGAGAGTGTGTTGATATATGTGGCCTTGGTTTTTGTCTGTTCAGTATTTACTTTCTATAAGCAGAACTAATTAATTAAACAACAAAGCTGATATAAATTGAACTCCAAAAGGCTGATATTGCACTCTCATTTGATCTCTATTAATACAATTATAGTACTTTTGTGCCTTCAATTTTGCAACATATTTACTTTATCACAACCTGGATCATTATTTTACATGAAATGAAAAATATTCTAAACTTGCAGTTATGATTTACTGAATCTTTAGTTGTGTTTCTTTGAACCCCACCTTTTACTCTTGATTTAGGATGGGCCATGTTCTGCAGTTTGATGAGCAAACCAGAAAAGTGAAGGATGCCAACATGCAGGACGAGGACACGTTTGAGATTTACGACCCACGCAACCCTGTCAATAAACGAAGGAGAGAGGAGAGTAAGAAAATTCTGAAGGAGAAGAAGGCCAAGAGGTGACATGTCACAGTCAAAGGTCAGGCTTTGTCCAAGCTCTTTGATTGAAGAAGTGGTCAAACAGCAACATCCAAAGAGGTCCACTTTGAAGTTATCAACATGCTTTTTGAACTTCTAACTCAAACATCTGGATTGAGTGGACATACAATTCCCTTAATCTTTGACTGTTTAAAAACTGTATTAGACCTGATTCTGTTAATTCAATGTACTTTTCATTTACTTTGAATTAAAAATACCTCTTTGAATTAGGTGTTCCTCATTTATGTGGTACGGATTTCATTAGTGTATTAGTATTTTTATTATTACTTTGTTTAATGAATTAATTGACCAAAGTCAAACCACTAGGACCCATAAAGTTATTGTTGTGTCAGGTGGCGTTATTAGGCTTTTTTTATTACTGCAAAACAGATCCCATGCATGCTGTCATGACTTGTCTGGGGTTCCAGTGGTGCACTGTTGAGTGTATTTCACCAGAAATTCTGATTAATTTGTAGGTATTTTTATTTGTTCTCACTGCCTGTTGCTCAAGCTTGTTTGCACATGCATGTATGTAATACCTTGTGCTAGTTAAGATCTAACATCTCATCAAAGCCACAAGAGAAGTAATGAACCTGCCATTGCCACCTGGCTAAAGAGGATAAGGAGTCTTAGTAATAACCTTATCATTGTATTGACAACCATTGCTGCCCTGCCATGCATGCCTTTTTAGATTCACTTAATGTTTCTCTGTCCTTATTACCACACAATCACTTCTATGGATAGTTAAAGAAAACTTGCACACAACTGACATCTGAAGATCAGGTATGTTTTGAGGCATTCACATGTCTGACCTCTGAGTCTCTGCCTTATTCCCTTCATGAGTGATTTACTGAGTGTTAAGAGGCAAGGTGAGCCTAAGAAAGTTGGCATAAAAGGGATATTGATGCGTTGCAGGATCAAAGAGAAGATGATTTGGACAGGCACAACGGATTTTCATGCTTAATGGTTGGTCATTCACAGTGTCCAAGGACAGAGCAGAGAGTCCATTTGTCTCTGTTACAGATGGTCTCAATGCCAGCCAGGCAAGGTTGAACATTAGACTTTGAATATCACTTGCCCAAATAGAAATATTTAAAATATAAAAGGTATAGGTTCATGGTTTGAGGGACTTTTTTTTTTTTTTTTAGCTCAAGAAGATTGTCAACATTTGAGGTAAATTGATTAATTTGATATAAAATATTTACACGTAATGCTGGGACACATGATCAACAACCAATGTTCTCTATAAGCAAATCTGTAATCTGTAAAACCAAATCCAAGTCTAAAGGGAAGATGCAACATTATTTCAGTACTAGTTTTCATATAATTCAAACAGCTACAGTGCCTTTAAGACATTTTGATAAAGGTGATTTAAATATTTCAAAATATGCATCCAAAGAAACAGAACCAATGCAATTACATTTTAGATGATGTACGCACAGCACCTGGGCTGTAGTTGGTAACAGTTTATTGCATTTATTATAAAAGGATTCACCTTTTCCTTGACATGAGGGAAGGACATGCTGGCTATGAAACTGAGTTGAAATAGCACAGCAGCATTACAATGGGAGTGGACTGCGTACTGGACAAGACTGTGGCTACAAAGCCATTATCATTTGTCCTCATTAGCACACCACCATTTATTAGTAGGAGGCAGTTGGAGAGAGGACGCCATATCCCAGCATAATTCATTCCTGATGGATTTCATAATGTTCTTGAGAAAGGATGTCCTTATAGTATTCTACCCAAATGAGTTGCAGTGTGCTTCAGGCACAAGCACCAGAGAGCCAACATCCCTGACTTTATTTTGTTAGCCTAAGTGATTGGCTATTGATCTTTTATGCATTTAATCCACTTACATGCTTTTGTCTGTGCTGGCAGAGTAAAGCGTGGTAAGAGGAGAGGATTTTTCGCAAAGGTGACCTACAGACCTGAAAAACTCTCATATAAGAGAAGGAGCCTCACATTGATCTATTAAAGTACATGACTTGCTTCCATTTGTTTATTTTTACAATATGTGTTCTTTATTGTAGAAACTTTATGAAATTATTGAATAAACTATTCCAAGTAACCTAGTGTTGTCTCCCCTTAATACTGTTACCTCTACTGCACACACAGCCAGAACTCTGTCACTATTTGGTGTGTCATTGTGTCTGAATTAATTTACTGACAAACATTTAAAAGCACAGTGACATTGATTAAAGTAACTGTATTGATATATTTTGCTTGCACTTTTCTTCTTAATAATACCAGCACATACTTTATGTATAAAGTGGTTGCTAGGTGATAAAACCTGTGAAGTGTCTTATATAATGTTATAAATCTCTTAAGTGTTTTCTCTGAATGGGACTTACTGTGAAGGGTTGGCTGTTGCCCTGTTCCTGCTTTGATCTTGCTCATAATGTGGGCCTCTGCTCAAGGGAAGAACGGTACGGATGAACAGCACCAAGCCCAAACACAAGTCAGCAGATAGCAGGTGCTAGAGGTCACGACCTTTCCATCCTGACCAGCATTCCGGGCTGTCAGACTCTGGGCATGTTCTCATTCAGCCACACCTCTGTCCTGCTGCAGCGCATCCTGTCAGCACAGTGTCTCGAGTGCTACAACACTACAGCTTTGATAAACTTCACAGGGCAATATGAATACACACGCTTCTTAAGGGTATGGTGATCTTACAGCACTGCATGTCTTTAGGATTAGGTGTAATAAAATGGGACCGAGATTGTGGATGTTGTAGATTATTATTGACCCTCTGTCAAATTGTGAAGTATTATCAGTAGCTTTCTCTGCTTTTGATGTATTTAGATACTGATAAGAACAAGCAGCAGTTTCTTTCACTGTCAGTAATCTATTTGAAGTGTGAAATCCTGGCATCACGACAAGAAATCTGCTCCATATCCTTTTTACACCTCATCACTAGCGGGTGGGGGGGCTACTGATAACTTTAATACGTTCAGTTGTGTGTATTAATCATTAAGAAACCTGGAACACAGGACATCTGGATATGAATTTGTAAAATCTTGAAATCTTATTTTCAAACAAATTTCTCAGCTCCTTAACTGCAAATTTCTTTGTTATCAAGTAAGATCACTTTAAATTGAGGTAACACATATAAGTGGGTACCCACTTCGGACAGCCAGACACTCCTGTGAATTACACATATGACAACAAAAACCCTTTTCACATGCATTTTTTGAAGACTGCTCCTTTAATTGAATCTACTAAAATGTAGGTGAGGGGCAATATCGCAGCATATTTTCACTTTATATGCAGTGACATGAATGTACAAATGGGGAACACAATAAATTAGAATATAATTTACATTTGAAAAACATAGTAACAGTGTACCAACATTAATACTGAATATAAAATATAAGGAATTAATCACATGACTTTTCTTTTGCACTTAGGTATAAGCAACATTCAAATATCCAAGTTCACAGCACTGAGGACCAGTTTGAGAGATTTATGGAGGCGTTATATCCTACTGGCAGTCCGTAAAAATATTATTTGCAGTATCTCCCCTTCACCTCGTCGATATCTGTTCATCGTCTTACTGAGGATGGCCTCAGAAATGTAGCAGCAGCAAACAACATTTAACAGCTCCAATGAAGTCCTTATATGCGCTTAGATGTCCAAGGACTATGGTGGTCAACTGAAAGGTTGTCAGATATTGTACATTACAACGCGTAATGCAATGTTATTATTAAATGTCATTATTAAACAATTCCCAGTGTGAGGTATAGCACAAAATAAAACACAAAACATGACCAGCATTTAGCAACAGAAATAATTACAGGGTATTACTGTCTAAAAGTAAATGTTCCCATTCCCAGCCACCTGTTTGATAGCACCATATATCAAAATAAAGCACCAATGATTGAGGAATGATGGAGACGTGCTCTGTGAGATCCTTGAATACATTGTGTAATTTATACTGTATATTTAGTGCCCCTTAACTGACAACCACACCAGGCTTCACTCAGTCCTTCAGAATCAATCCTTCAAAGTGAATCCTGCCAATGGAATTTCTTGAAAAGCTTCCATGTTGGTCAAATAAATGTTCTGTTTTGTGTAATCCTTCTCAAATATGTATGTAATTAATACACAGATAGTATATGCTTGTTATTTTTCATTTTAGGATAGGGTCCTTACATATCATTAAGTCATAATCATAATACATTCCCCTTTAGACAGTAGGCATCTTGGCTCTTTTGGACATAAGAATAAATATACAGTACACAGATTGGAATTTTCTGCCACTTTGCAGGTATTTGAGCAGACAACAGCATAGTATTTACACAAAAAGTGCACCAAAGCTAAACGCCAACATGCTAACATCACAGTCAAACAATATTAAACCAAAACGTTCACTGTGGGCTCCCATCACCTCCACGAGCCATGTGTCCAGCACTTTTATAAACAACAAATATGGAGGATCTCTAGCATAATATTAATAATTATTATAATAATAACAATAATAATAATAAAACTTAGAACAAAGTCTGCAAATAATATTGCAAGTTCCACTTCACAGAAGTGAAAATAAACAGATTTGAATCAGCACTGTGGCTGAGCAGTGGTTTGTGTTCATGAGGGAGGGCAGGAGGATCAGACAGACAAACCACTACTCTGGTTGCCTTGGCTCCAGATGAAGTCTACTTCATTCTTCTGTCACGTTTATTGCAACACCAACCTCCCTTTATTGTCCACAGTTCATCTTGCTTCTTCTCCTGATTTTGTCCTGAAGAAGTCAATGGCCCTGGCATGTCTTGCAGCACATCTGTCTGAAATAAGCCCGACTGCAGAATTTGAACTTCAGAACAAGCGGACAGTAGGCTACCTTGTTTACGTCTTTGCACTCTGAAAGAACAAAAAAAATATCTGGATTAAATAAGGGACACAAACACATAGTGAAGTAACCTCATGCCTATATTTTTTATCTGATTTCTTAGGAGACTCTGATTTCCCCAAGGCCTCTACAAAATAGAACTTTGTATTTAAACTTGGAGGCTAAGCACAAGCAGAGACTGATGTTGGCCTTGTTCATTGACTGGGCTTCCTGCCATCCCAACAATACATACTCATTTGAGCACACAAAGACACACTCATTTGAGCACACAAACTGCTTGCTGGATGGTGGTCAAGCAGTGCTTTAAATGCCTTATCACGATCAGAGTGTCTTCCCTTATTAGGCTTTGGCTCTTGCTTTTGCAGAGCCAAATGAAACGAGACATTGCCTCACTGCTGTTCGTAAAGGAACAATTAGCCTAAAGCTAATCCCATTAGCAAGCCTGTAAACGCTGCTCACGTTTTCCATTCAGGCTAATTGAAAGGCTTTTCTTTATACATCTGAATAGCCATCCATCATGTGTAAGTGTATACAGGTCTGAACTGTATCACTTGACCAGGGGCCATCCTCACTGGAAAGATGAATGTAGCTGGTATACAGCAGAGCCTGTTTGATGGTTCATAGCAAATGGGTGAAAAACACAACTTAAAGTATTGAGAAAAATGTAGTAAAAACTTCACTAATTCATCACTATGGATCTAGCCTGCTTCCTGCTGTGGAGAGTGTGCCAGTGATGTTTGATAAAGTGTATCTGTAGTGCAATGGTCTTACCGTCACCGGTGGCAATGGGTGTGGCATCACACTTGCTCTCACACTGCTGCATGATGGCTGGCCTGAGGGACTCTGCACAGTCACTTGAGGGTTGCCCAGTGTACGACAGACACTGCACTGTCCTCATCTGTTGGCCCAGGCCACAGTGAGCAGAGCACTGAAATACATGGCAAAACCAATTAGAGCACTCAGTGAGGCTGTCATTAAGCAAGGTAAATAAGGACCAGCTAATTCACCTAAAGAAATCCCCACAGTATCTTTCTGTGACCTCAGGCAACTCTGCTTTTGCATGTTGCTACATTTGAAGTGAACAAAGTGGATAGCCACTATATAGATCAGTTATTTTAGCCAAAAAATATTTTTAATAAATGTATGTATTTCTATGATAGGCACAAGTATGCACATTTAACTTAAACATACTACAATATTTGTAGCAATGGCTAATTTGCAATGTTAATCAATATAAGGGTTTTCACAAACAAAAAGAACTTTATATTTATATGTACATGTACATGTGATAGCATAGCATTCTTGCATTCTTGCATACTGGACAATAATTCCTAATGAAAAAACTGTACATGGGCAGGTAAACTGGGGACATGTCCAGAAATGCCCCTTGGCACACACATTCAGACTAATCAACAGATGACCTAATGTTCTATATTTTCTCATAAAACTTAAGTTTGTTGACACATTTCATGTGCACAACCCAAAATGCACACCTGCTATTTTCTAAATGACTTCTAAGCATGCGCCAAATACAATAAAATGAATGTCTGAAGCATGACCAATAAAACACAAAGTGATTCCAGTTGGAGCCGACATCATTTCACCAAAACAACTACAAAGGAGGTCGATATCGCTACGATTAGGCCTATGGATGTAGGCACCTGGCTGTCAGTCATCAGTGTTTTAGTTTCAACAAAGGGGCATTCGAATGCAAGATCTGCATAGCGCTCTGTCACCTTATTGAGTACTGGCAGATCAGAAAGCCTGTATTTCATCCCTTCCCAATTAGAGAATGATTATTAGGGCCTGCTGTCGGCCATGACAGATGGTACACGTCAATGATGACAGTTACGTGGGATTTGATCTAATGACCTTATGACTTGAAAGAACAGGAGCTCTATAGCTTACATTGATCTCTCCCGAAGTCTGGACACAAGGCTTTAGAGCAGCAATACTAAGATTTGTACAGTAAACGAAATGCTCATGTCCACCGCACTGGAGAAAGTCCAGACTCCAGCTGTTGTACTCTTGAGTATATAAACAGGATCGCTCTGAGGTTAAAGAGAAGGTTATTTGTTTATGGCTGCTACTGCCACTGACATAATACAAAGTCACAACACCAATCTATTTTGTTTATAAACACACATGGGCAAAGCCGTATAAGTAAGAGTTATTCACTATTTCTATTCACAAATGAGTGCAATGTTACATTTTCATTCAAAAAGTTGTTTTCTGGTAAACACTACATCTATGACGCAGATATGTGGCGTCATCTAACAAACCCAATCCACTTGTATAGAAGTCAACAGCAAAGGAATGCTGCTTCTCAGCAATGCACTAAGTTTTGTTCCTAGAAGCAGCAGTGCTGAGATAAACTTCAAACAGTCAGAGGGGATATTATCAACCCAGCCTTATCCATGTCTGCTGGTGTCACAGCCCTACATGCCAGAGGTAAGCTTAGGCTTCCATTTGTCATCCAAATTTGAATTATGTCAACTATGCACTTAAACAACCTGACTTTCTCCACATTTGTAAGCCCTTCAAGTACTTAAGCAGGAATTACATACTTGTCCCCATTCTCCAGGAATCCAGCGAGGAGGAGGACAGCGACCAAGACTGCAGCGGATTCGAACGGGAGGCTTGTTGTGGCTTGGACAGTGCCCAGGTGGAAAAGGCTTTGTCAGGTCACTGCTCTTGCATAAAACAATGCGATGTTTATAACCAGGGCCACATTTAGGAGTACACTAAAAATAAATGAAAATGAATGAATTAAAAAAAGTCATAAAAAGACAATGTCTGTCGAGCAAAAATCCCCACCTCAGACCAGTCTAAAGTCACCCACTTTGGCGGGCACGACTGGTTGTTGCAGGACTCCCGTTCAATAGGTCGATGAGTCAGACAGTGGGTGTCTGCCAACGTCTCCTCCTCAGCAGGACCCATCTTCCTGATGCACACCACTGTCCTGGTGCGGACTCCTCCATCACAGGTCTTAGCACAATCAGACCAGTCACCAATAAACCACCTGCAAAAAAAAAGAAAAAAAAAAGGGAACATTAAAATAAATTGTTAACTTCATTTTTTGCCAGACAATCCATGGAAATCCTTAGTTGTAACACTGAACATAGCATAGTATGTTCTAACGCAACCAAATAGTTCCATGGAAAAAAAATAAATAAAATACATTAAATATTATAAACTGACCCTGACATTAGCTCTCTAAACACATCCAGTCTCTGAAATATTACATCATGCACAGGAATGTACAACATTAACAACATGTTTTAAACATTTGCTAAAGAATTCTTTGCCAAAACTTGTAAAGGTCCTTGCTATTTGAAACAATTCTGTTTACACATTGACTTTATTTGGCCTTCATTCAGCAACATCCATACACAATGTAGATCTAGCACACTGTTATGTACTAATAAAACTCAATAGCACATTATTAACAATTGTGGTGGCAGAAATCCAACTGAACAACAACCAACTGAATGGTTTTGTATCATTTGGCAAAAGCATTGAATCTCCGTTTCTTTAGACAATGCACATGCTAAGCTGATTGTATAGATATTTGGCCACAAATGATAGTTTATATCAAACCTCATTGCATTTATATACAGTGCCTCAAGATATATGGACACCCTATGCCAGTCTCAATCAAAAGATATTAATCAACTATGAAAAAGACGAGTGTGTAATTCCACTGGTCCACATCTAACTAAAGCTGAATCCTCTCTACTTTGGCACAGCTGAAAGGAATCAGTAGTCATGTGAATGACTGAAATGAATATATGCATAAACAATTCTAAAGTCTGCATTAGAACAAATGCTGAAAATGGGTAATTGTTTGGAGCAATTCTTTGCATTTGGAGCCATTTCTCATTTTAGTAGTGAGCAGAGAATTGAACGATAAAGACATTTTTTTCCTCATATTTACCACTGAGTGCCATTACTTCTCATATTTGTCAATATTTCTTTATTGTGTATTGCCTCAAAGATTAGAGAAGTTTTGGGGTTTTTTTTTTTTCTAAAAACTGAACTCAATCTGAGTTCATTATTTTCATCCAATTTGATTTTACAAAAAGCAAACATTTTATGGGCACTGCAATTTGTTACAATTCTAAAAGTAACCAGATATGAGTAAGACTAGTAAAAATGATCATGTATTTTTACATACTCTGGAGGACAGGGCTCAGTGTTGCAGTTTTGCTGGTTTTCTGGAGGTCTGCCATCTGGGTCACAGTAACTGTTCTGAACCACTGAGTTATCGTCCAGCCTCTTGCACACCACCTCCTGCTTCTGAGACCCTACAGGGGAAATGATTTTAAAAATATGACATTTTCCACAGCTAGCACTCAATTAAAGAGTTTGAAGCACAATAACTGTCTGTGATTAACTCAGACATGTTAAGTGAAGTATTTTGCAAAGTAAATTCATCATTATAATTTTGATCACTTTATTTTGGCTTCTAACTTGGAGAGTTAGTGTTACAGCTATGTGTCACCCCCCCATTGTTAGTGTGCAGACATATCAGACCTCAGAAGGGGTCTCTTTGGACCCTCATGGAACACATAATTTAACACAGCTTTGTCTGGCAACTGTAATAAGATACAGTAAGAATAAATATGTGCGTGATATGCCTGGACAAAAAGTCAACCCATCTGTGCGTGAATATGATTTGATGAATGGTATGGCGAAGTATGAGGTAAAGGAGTTGATGGTTTTGAGACAGAGTAAACTTTTTATTGCTATGATGATAGACAAGACTTCATTATTAGCAGAGCTGACTCCATGAATGATAATCATAGCTGGCAACTGGGGTAAGACACAGAGCAGACACAAATTACATCATCTGGATCAACAGCAAGGCTGTTTAGAGCAGTGAAAAGTAAAAGGTTGTGCCTGCCTTACAATATAGGTTACAATTTTTAAATGCTCCTTTCAGTGCTTCTTTAATATTTTGTTAAAAACAATCACCTCACGCAGGTTATATAACATCGGTCTGGTTATATTTAAGGCTGCATTCAATTGTGCCTTTAGAACTGTGAGAGTTTGATCTTTTTGGGGGGATTGTAACTAGAAAAGATTGAGTTTCTTAGGGCTCTTTACATCCACAAACAGTTGATCTACAAAATTAGATTGTTGCTTTACCTCCAGCACAGCTGGCAGAGCATTCAGACCAGGGCAGGTGATGCCATGAGAAGCCCACCTCATTGTCACCACTTCCTGTCCGCTGAATTGGCACATTGAATTTGTAATATATGCCCAGATTCTGTTCTTGGAGAAGGACCTGCAAGGCATTGTTATAAATAATAAATAACACATTTTAGGATTTACCTTGTAATTTCTCTTGAGGATGTTGGGGTCCTCTTACTCAACATTAAGTATGACTAGAGCAATCTTCACAGGCAGTAAGTAAAGGGTCTAAAGTTTGGGGGCTGGTCACAACTCTCATCAACTCCCAAAGGCAGTGTGTCGTATTTTCAGCAATGTACTGCAAAACCACTGGATTACAAACAAATGCTGTATGGTGGCCTAATGTCTGCTAATAGATAATATTTACATAACCAAAGGTACATTATTTTTCCAGATATTGTTTATCTAAAAAATAAAGTACCAATTTACAGTAATAGTTACAAAAAACAAAATAAAAATTACAATTATCTTTTTATTTTTTTTTTAAATGGGTAAAGGTCCTCACAACCAAAAGGACCTATTCCTTAACCTGATTCTAACCTTAACCTGATTGTGAAATAGTAAAAAATTGCATCTGCTAGCATTCCACCAATGCAAAGGGGCATAACTGCACTGGGGCGCAAAGTAATCTTCAAATCAGTAATGAACTGTCTGACTGAAACCCGTGAATATAAAGTTTTTAGAACATTAAGTTGTTTCTTATTGTTAAGTTTCACTTTTCATTTTCAATGTCTTGGCTTGGCTAGATGTAGTGTAGTGAATGAAATCTGAATTTATTTAATAGAGGGCGACTGCTCATATCTATCACATATATTGTAAGTTGTAAAAAAATGTTAACGTTTTACCATAACAAAAAGGTTGTCAGTGGTAGGTCCAAGGGCTTCCAAAGACTCTGGATCATCAGAAGGTCTTTTGTAATGAAAAGCTGTCCCAGCAATATCAAACTTTCTTGGCCAGTCAATGGTCCAAGCCCCATTGATGTAATAGTCATCGCCTTCAGATTTTAATGCTGGAAAATCAAAGAGACAATCATTCCTTTAAGAGAGTTGTCCAACTTGAACAGAAGCAGCAGGTGAACACAGTCACGACAGTATGAGGTCATGGCTGCAGTTCATCCAAATCATCATCTTTTTCAGGTATACTCTGAAGTCACAGAGCTCCTGTGTTGTATCCTTTTGAGAGACTGAGCAGAAGCATTGGAAATGAAGACACTGACATGTGCAGACACGTAAAATGAGAAAGAAAACACACTTCAGGTGAAAGCCTCAACTAACTTCAGGAATACCAGACTGCACGGTTGCCAAAACAAAACAGGTTTCCAAGCACAACAGATCTGAAAATATCCTCTTTCACTCAAACCAACTGGGCCAAAATGAGCAGAACTGATTCAGCTTCGGCACTGCGGGGTATGAATCAAACATCTACATGCATTAACTCAGAGCAACTGATTTTAACAGACAGTTTTTTTGTCTTTGATATACACAAATTATACTAAGGCTTCAATGGTGGACCAGGTGCACAACGTCCCTTCAAACCTGACACAGTTCTTTTGGTTCAAGTGCAACCTACCAAGAATAAGACATTCTCAAAACACTAACTCTTTCTGCTTTATAATAGCACAATAAAACCAAACATTTTCTGTAAATGTTTAACTCAGGGTGGTACTTGAGTTTGCAGTATACAGTTCAATGCCATTGCCTCATAGTCACATGTGCATTTTGTGAATTTTTATTATTTTGGATTGGGCAACAGATGAAAAATTTATCTATAATTGCATTTCCACAGCAACATTAGGAAACTGAAGGAATCTGTGTGGTTTACCCCCACAAGTAGAGAAAATATGAAACAGCTGAAAGTAAAAAACAAACAAACAAAACACATAAATTTGGACTGAAACTGAAAAATACACATCATTAATTTAATAGAATTAAACCGCGAAATAACATTTCAAGCAATGTTGCATTCAGTATACAAATTCACAGTTTGCTATCACAAAATCTACTGAAACAGTCTTTACTTACCTATATAATTCTTTGAAATTGAGGCTTCTTTAATTTCAATATGAACTGAACCCTTTGGGATGTGGACAACCTCCATGTAGCCTACAAGAGAAGAACAGACCCTTCAAGGTGGTATTTCTCCACTTTATCCCCTTAATGTGACTTTTTCCAAAACACAGAGCAGACACGTTCATAATTCATGTCATGAGGTAAAACCACATATAGAATGCATTTCAAATAAGCCAAAAAAGGACAGAGCAACTCTGCCAGAGGACAAAACAACCCCCCTCTGCTATTTGGTCACACACGTACACATACACACGTACGCACACACACGTGCGCACGCACGCACACACACAGATGCACACACTGTATTTTTGAATGGTTTACTAGCCATACCATACAAGGAGAAATATGCATGCTTCTGTCTTTTCATTTATGTAGATGACCTTATGCTACAGTTCACACTCCACAGTTTATTGTGTATGCAAAATATACTGTGGGTTTGTATTGATATACTGATAAAGAATAGTTACTATTTGAATTCCCGAAAGACACTCTTTATGCTGGCTTTTGGACAAATGCTGTATTGCCAAAAAGGACATTTTATTTAATTATCTAGCCTGAGCCAAGTGCGTTAACCACACTAAAATAAAACTTTTCTTTTTAAAACTGTTCTTATCTATACCATACTAAGTCAAATACTTGCCTCCTCTGGGTAAGGACTCATTGAAGAGTCCTTCAGTGGCCTCACATGTGCTGCCGTCTCCTCCACACACGCGACACCGGTCCTCTTTAGCGTCTGAGCTCAGGATGTTGTCACAGCCCACATGCTATAAATGGCAAATATGCAGAATTATGTTTTTTAACTTAAGGTATTAAAACAATTAAAATACAACAAATGACATTATCAACTGTGGTAAATTGGTAAAACTAAATAAAGTGTGTTTGATTTACTCTGGTTTCCCCTTTCAAACCAAAACATGCACACTAGGTAAAATCCTCTAGCTAGGAGGTCTTGACCAAGTCTAGCACAAGTTCTGGAGATGAGTCACCGAGTGCTGTATGGCAGCTGCACATTGCACAACAGTTTGCTCCAGCACCATTGAAGTATGGGTCAAATGCAGAGAATTTATTTATCTCAAAAGGGATTAATAAAGTAGACCTAAACACTAGCTTATGCTACATACCTCTATGCTAGCTCTAGTTCTCTCTCTGTTTTTCTTCTGCACATGTGCACCCAGACCAGCTTAAGCAGTTTTTGTGCTTCTTCCAAGTAGACAGTGTTCCAGAGATTTATCACTGAGAAGCAAGCTTATAAAATAAAAGACATGCTGGAGTGAGTCTGGAAATAAACCTGTAATGCTCCTTAAATGAGAGTATTCACTCACACATCATGTTTTACTAATAATGTAATAATGTAGGTATCAAATAGAGTTTTTGGTGCCAAAAGATGATGCAAATTACCTGCTGATGTACAAACTCAACACACAGGTGTCACTATGCAAACAGTCAGGATATACATAATCAGACAGCTTTTAATATAAACTAATCACACTCGAGGGACTTTCATTTCCTTATTTAAACCATTTGCATCTTAAATTTAAACCATTTGCATCTTAAATTAAGAAGTGGGTAGTACTCATTTACATTTACTCAAACACATTTACATGAGTTTTCAAACATTTAATTTTTCTACTTGAAGAGTGGTACTCTTAATTAGGGATTGTCTGACATAGATTTTTTTGAGCTGATACTAATAGTCAATATTTGTCTTGCTGTTGTGGACAATAACCAATATTAAGGTTTTTGAATCCTTTACAAGAACCAAATTTATATTAAGTTATAGTTCCTTTTGTTAAAAAAAAAAAAAAAAAAAAGTATATTATTTATATATATATATATATATATATATATATATATATATATATATATATATATATATATATATATATATATATATATATTTGTTGGGGACATAAATTCATATTTGCACTCATTAATCTGTTCAAAAAGACAAATCTGACGCACTGAGGACACACTGGGAATAACACATCGGCACCCAAAGACTGGAGCAGGCCAGAAATTATATTGTATCAGTCCAATATTGAGATTTTGGCACAGATATATGAGCCGTCCACAGATTTTGCCAATATTGCTGGTAACCGTTAAAAAATCCTTACCCATAATTAAGTACAACTAAGTAGTATTTTCTCTTTTTTCTCTTACTCAAGTATTTACATTCTTTCTACATCTTGTACCTTTGCTAGAGTAAATCAGTCTTACTTTTACATGTGTGCATGTACCTCTAAACCTCTAAATCCACCTCTAAAGTTATTGTTAGGGCTGCAAGATATGTATCACAATAAAATTTTATGTGTAATTTGAATGGCTACAATTACAAAATACAAACACTGCAATTATTAAAGCGACACAATTTCCTCTGCAAACAAAACAATGGCCAGTCTTACTGCTGGGTTTCAGATGGCGTCAAGAATCTATATAGGGCGATAATATTTTGATAGAAATGGGGGGCAGCTAAAACTTATATTGTTAAAATGTGACATTTGTTGTAGTCAGTAATAAAAATGATCAGATTCAACGTTAGTGCATTTTCTTGCAAAGTACAATGTAATCAATAGGAAAATCTGGCTCTTGACATCATCAAATTCTAAAATTCGAAAACCAGCAGTTGTGTGAAAAGAAGGTGATGATTCAGTTTTCTCTCAGTTGTCAGTGCGCCTGGATGAGTTTAAAATGTGGACTAGTGAAACAGATTACATTTCAAATTGCAATTGCAATACTTTTCAATAGCCCTTTTTGTAATGTTAAGAATAGAAGTACTTCATACCTTACACTCTCCATTGATACAAATGTCCAGTGAGTCCGCCTGACAGCGAGTACCATCTATTACAGCTGGGGAGCGCTCTGTGTAGAAGTTATATCCCTCAGCCAAACAGTTTAGGGCACAGGGTTTGACACCACCTGTAAGAGACAAGAGTACATACAGTGACTATAGTGATCCAACTGTTCTTACTTGCCATGTAAAAACAAAAAAATCTCCACAAAAATCTAATTCTAGCGATGCTTTTATCATAAAAAACTGAAAGTTAACTTAAGTAACATACTGCACTTTGCACTGTAACAAACTGGAATGGCAAATGTAGGGAATAAAATCTTAAAATTAGGTAAACTCACCACCGGTGTATGGCTTCCAATTATAGTATTTCCCTCGAAAAGGCATGCTGTCAAAGTCAGCACACTGTTTCTCTCGGAAATCACGAGACCCTACAGGGCATGCCTGAAATTAAGTATGCAATATGTTGTATACATGTTTTTTATTGTATAAAAATTATACAATAAAAGCAAAACAGCATTTTTTTGTTTGTTCAAAGGCATATCTAAACTTATGGTTTGTGTGAGGCTGGAAGATGACTTAGTTGTTTGTTAAATATTAATGGTGAATAATTACAATTTCAACACACAACTGTGGCAGAGGCTAGTCTCAGGGTCCTCTTTTCTGGAAAAGCCTAGGTGTCTGGGTTGACACTTCTCTCAGCAAAGGTAGGCCAACAATGGAATAAAAGTATAAAGAGAGAGTTTATTGGTGTGAAAAGGTCCCAAGAAACTCAAAACACTCTCCCTAAGGACAAATAAAAGCGCCAGTGTCAAAGCTGTATTTCAGATGCAGAAAGTGTTCCATGTGAAAGTGGGGCACAGGAAACTAAACCTCCTTTTTCATAGTACACTTCACAATACATTCTATAGGCAGTATTACATCAAAGCTGAAGCATAACAAGCTGAAGCTGAACAATAACAATTTCTAGAATGTGTGTGACCCCAACAAAATCTTTAAATCTTCAAAATGTATAAATGTCTAAATGTATTAAAATGTATCACTAAATTCTCGCAATGAGAAATTGTGAGTAGAAGGATTTTTGTAGCTTGGAAAATCTAGTCTCTAATGCTGCCCAACCTCTGTCAGTTTAAAATGTAATATCAAGTATAATTCAATTACATCGTTAAATTCTAGTTTCTGATTTCAATTTTGAAAAAGAAATGCAAAGTCTGTTTTTTTGTTTGTTTGTTTGTTTGTTTTTTTCTTGGTCTTAACATTTTGATTTTTACTGTATTTACTGTATTTGCTGTATTTTCAATATCGGCCATGTGAAATGGAAACAGGAAAGTTGGGAGCCCTGAAAACAAATGATATTTGAAAACAGATCTGAGTGCAGTGCACTGCAGCTGGTGTAGAATATGTTTGACACTAAATAGATTTGTGCAATGGCATACTGGCCATTTATGTTCATTCTTTTCCCAGTTTCTCCTCTGTAATACTTATGGTCAGTTTTCACAAAAGAGGTTAACCAACCACCAAAGAAGTAGTTGGACTTGTGCTGTAGCAAGATTCAGTCAAGATTTTAACATGAAACCACACCTGCACTGCAGTGTATGTGCAAAAAGCTTAAACGTGAAATTATACATAAATGAGGAGGAGAAGGAATATACTCACATCTATGTTGCAGGATCTGTAACGCTTCCTCTCTCCTAGACAGTACTTGCCTCCTCCTGATGGGCTGCCAGACACAGCAGTTAGTGATAAAACTACAAGTAAATGAAACATTAAATCACTAAATGTGTATTTTGTGTTTAAATGTATTTTGTGTTTGCCGAGTGACATTAATCAAGAATAAAGCCGGAAAACACAAGTTGTATCTATAATATTTCCATATGTTGGCGGCAGTTTATAAATCAAGTTTATTTATGAAGCCATTTCATATATTTATATTTTTGACGTATTTTTAAAGCTACCATCTGTAATTGGATTGGCTGACTGGGCCCTGTTATATTCTCACTTCATGCTATCTACGTTACTGCTGTCTGACAATGTGCCAGCTTTGGTCTAACAGACCAGACCTGAGAGCACAGGTGAACCTGAACTAACCAGTGAGGGAAGGGAAACAGGTTTCACATCTGCCATCTACTGGTTAAAAAGAAATCTAATAAACTTACAGGTGGTAGCTTTAAAAACTGATATTATAATTTACAGTAATTTCCAGAAATTACAAAAATTTCCCCTAAAATGCATGCATGTGATGTATGAATCCACCCACCCACTGCGCACACACACTCACTAACACAAACTGGGTTTCCATGTCATGGTGACATTAGATTGACTTATGTTCATATCCTGGAGATTGATCCTAACCTCAGCCATGGTCACTACATGCCTAACCTTAACCTATTTTAACCCATATCCTAACTTTAAACCATGTTGCTCATCCAATAATGAAGGATTTACCTCACAGGGACTTGATGTTTTTGTCTCCAAAAGGGAGGTAAGTCCCATGCGTGTATATAGATTTTAGTACCCAAAATGTGATACCCGCCCACACACACCTGTAGGTGGGACTTGAATGAGTGTGTTCCGCTTGCTGTGGCTTACTTTGCCTACTTACGCTGGGCTGTCACAGTGCCTCATGGAGGAGGACACACCACCGCCACAAGTCCGACTGCATTCGCCCCACATGGACCAGGGTCCCCAGCCTCCAGCTACGCTCTGAGGCCACGTCCCAAAGGCAACACACTCCCCTTGGTAGCACCACTGAAAAAACATTTACAGATTTTGAATTCAAATATGCACGGGGCAAGTTGTTGCAGCATTATATACTGTATATGTATGAAAGTAATCCAATCCCTGTTTCTTAAAACTTAAAAATACTATTGTGACAAGCGGAGGGAGCAAGAAACAGTTCTTTAAGAAAAAAAAAGTGCATATTTATTTTTTATCAAGGACCAATGATTGAGCTAGTTTAGCACAATATCAGTCCATACGTTATAAACTACTGTTTTCCAATATAGATTTGCTTCTATTGTTTTACACCCAGACAGCAGTCGTGTGTAAATCTGCTCCAGTACTGTAAGCCTGGTGCTAAGCTGTTGAGAGTTTCAGAGGGGATCAGACACGCTCTTTTGTCTCTCATTTGTGTCAGTGGGTTAAGGTAGGGGCTATGTTGGGCTGCTGTCCTCTTTATGTTGCCCTTCTTGACTGGACACAATCACTGCATTAAAAGAAATGCATTGGCTTTGGACAGAACCAAAAAAGAAAGATGTGTATCACAAAGCAAAAATCAGATATAAACTAAACACATAAGATAATATACTAAAACTTTTACTTTTTTCCTGTGAGTTCTAAATTTTTTTCTGCCTATGAACCATAATCGTCAGCTCCCCCAATTCTGTGGCCCCTTTCTAGTGCACGCTGGGTGAGAAATGGCTGACATTCATATTCCTTTGAAGCTGTCCCTGACAGGGCACTGCTCCAAAGCAACCAGCTCAACCTGGGCCCCCCTATGTTGTCCAGGACCCTATCCATTGGCCCCTGTCCTCAAAGGCTCCACTGAGCTAATCGTAATCATGGATGACAGCTCGTGACACTCTTCTATTCTACTCTTTTAGACCTCGGCCCATTCAGAGACAATGGAGGCTGTAATCCACGTTAAAACTGTCTCCCCTAACCTAGCCACCATAAACGGGGGCAGATGACCCATAGCCTGATGGGTAACAATGCCGCACTTCCCAGTGGTGAACATAGAAGACCGTAATGAGACACGTGCATTGACAGTATTAGCCACATTTGTATATAACAGAGGGACTACAATACATCATAATATAAATTTGCACGAGAAGTGAGATGTGGAGAAAGACCTACCCCTTTGTCGATACTGCCAGTCTGACACAGAGTTCCTTCAGCAGCAGGAATACTGTTAGTGACACAGCGGTTGCTTTTGCTAAGACACCAGAGCTCTCTACACACTTCCTAGGAAAGACGGCAAGAGCAAGTTGGTCAGAATTATTTCAGTTAGAATTATCTGTTTAAAAGACTGCCAAGCATTTATTGGTAACTGGTGATAAACAAGAAACCAAACAGCATTGTTGTAAGCATTGGTACAAATACAAATACAATTTAACCACTGGAGTCTGTGTGCTATACACCAAGGAAATTTTAGGGTACATATGTTTTGGATCATGGGGTCAGTGGGTGCTCTTAATGTTCTTGTATGACAAAATGAAGAGTTTGCTGGATCAACACCATGACTAATATTTGCTCACTTTCACCTCAGGACCACACGGGACTGTGACATCAGTTCAAGAAATCACATTTCTGCTTCATGGGGGAAATCAAGATAGAGCAACAGGCCTCCCAAGTCTGAGATAAAGATGACTTGTAGGCCCAACAAATATCTGAGGTATTACTGACTGGTCTGGATAAACATCTCCCCTCTACTCCTTCGTCTGGGAAATACTGAGAATGCCTTTAGATTACCACATGGTGGGAGTGTGCAAGACAAAGTGGGAAGACAGCACTAAGTTGCCCCCAAATAAATAAGCCACTAAAATGAACACATGTTACAAGAACAGCTCTTATATTTCCCTTTAAACTGAACTGGGTCATCCAACATATCCACTTCAAAGGCATTTACAGGGCTATTGTGTATGGTAGAAGAACAAGCCAATGAAAAAGAGTTATGAAGCTGTGCAGAGATTCTGACCCTGGAGGTCAGTAAATATGCCATGGACGTGAAGCTCCTTGAGTCTATCCAGATTAAATAAAGCGGCAAACTGCCACTATCACAGTGCAGCAACTCCTGTCTGCCAGCTGCTTTCAATAAGCCACCCCACCGATCCTTTCACTATCCCAGCCCTGTTAAAAGGTCAGTGGCCAAGGCCTTAACTAATGTTGATGCAGACCTGATGGATTTATGGCAAAAGAGAACAAGCTGACAATAAAAAAGGCAGAGGCTGTGTATGGGCTTCACTAATATAACCAAGGAATGGATGTTAAAGGATGTTTGTATTTCATACCTCCAACATTCACTATTCTGTTGAGTTGGCCTTAGCATCTACTGGACTACTGGTCTGTCCCATTTCAGAGCAAAGTTCTGACCTTTGAAATAAGGCTTTGCTTAGTTGACATGAGATCCAATGCTGTAAGACTACATCATTTATTTGATTACTTTGTAATGTTCTAAATGAAATGAAATCAATTTTTGACTCTTATCAATACTTATCCTCAACACCTTTGGTGAAAATATGTACAAAATAAAATCACAGCATTGCCTGATAGATTAGAATGATTTACTTTACCTGTATTATGTACAGAGTTTAAACAGCCGAGCAAATCATTGTCATCTTACAAGATGTATCAAGGCTACAAATGTAGTTAATACGATTAACTGAGATTCAGGAGCAGGACCACGCCTCAGCCGCCCTCTCCTCTCACCTGCGAATCACAGCTCACTTCGACCACACCTCTAATTTCCCAGAAGCCTATATGTAGCAGCCTTTCCCATCATCCCAGTTTGTCTCGGCTAACTCGACCCCACCCTCCCATCCCCTATTTTGTCTTTCAGTCATAAGACCCCTACAAGGGGGGTCCCGTTCCGGCTGGGCCAATTGTAGATTGAGACGGAGTCCCCACCTGGAGTCTCAACCCAGCCATCTTTGCCTTGCTTCGTACATTATCAATAAACTTCTTCGCACTATGTTGTCGTTGGCGTGGTCCTAGCTAGTGAATATTGTGTTAACAAGACACTAGACATGCTGAAGCAGTACTATCATTAAACAATTATCCATCTAATCTACAATGGTAAATTAGCCGTATATTGGAATGTAAACAACATAACTAGAAAAACAACTATGAATCTAACATTGAATAAATGAAATGGGTGTTGAGCAAATTCATGAGAACAACATCATTAAAACATTCAGTTTCTTACCCCATATTTGCACTGGCGTGAAGAGGCTCCGTACTGGAAGCGACACTGCTCATCTGCATCGTACACCTGCCCTGGGGCCACAGTTGGGTACAGGAAGTCTTGTTTTGGAGGTTCATTGTCCAGACATGTACCTCGACCTGAGCTGTCAAAAATACAAACTCGAAATAAGACTGATTACCAACACTAAGAGTCCTTATTTGCTTGGTCCGTGGAAAAAATAAATTAAATAGACAGGTTAATTTACTAGTGGCTATCTCTCCTTCAGTTACATCTATTGATAACAGATAAAATAAATTCTCCCCAACTCATCAGGGTGGAAAAATTGGTCTTAAGTTTTCAACTGTGTTAAAATACAAAACATAACAAGCTCAATAGTTGTAAAATTGTACTCTCTGCATAAGTTGTCAAGTGCTTGTCCTGTGGCTTACTTTATAATTTGGCTTGTCTGAATGTAGTTTACCCTGTATAAGACCTGAACTTAAATACTAGTTAGAAAAAATAGTGAACTAAAAACTAGTGATTTGAAAATGCGCCTGTCTGAAAAACTTAGAAGGCAGACTCCTCTTAAAAGATTCCAATTCAGTGTGTGCATAGTTGCATTCTGTCATTGTTTTATTTATTAGAAAACAGAAGTGATTCTTTCAGTGGTTACGGTTTCTTTCTGAGGCAGCACATTCCTTTGAAGGAGAATATGACCTTAAGTATTTACTATAACACTGTTATTTCCAGCTGTGGCATCTGCTACATGCAGAATGGCCTCCACACTCTGGAAAGGAAAAGTGGGCAGAGTGACAACAATAACGTAGTGCACTGCTTTATGAGACTGCAACTGAAATCATGCAAGTGGTAGGTGTTGAGGGTACACCCTTTGAGTGCCAAAGCAGATCATAGATAAAGTTCTACTCGGGGAATGAAGAGTTATATAGTGTATGGTTATTTTATAGTTATGTTTAAACACTATTTTCAGGCCAACAAAGCAATGCACTTAGTCACCTAGTCCCCACAGTACGAATAAATAGACAAAGCAATACAGTCTCAATGGAGAAAAGCACCACTGAAAAATTGAAGAACTATAAGTGGTGAAACTGAGTACTTATTCGCTTTTTAGTGGCAATGTCCTCATTAGATATTTGAGCCAAAAACAGACAGGAACCCTACAGAGAACTGGAGAAGTAGCTCTTTGTATGGTAGTTGAAAGCTGGCACACAACACTGTCATCTCTACCACAAGTGCTGCCCACAAAGCTCAAGCGGAAACATCATTTGACAACCGCGGCCACTTTTATAATCGCTCCTGGAGGGTCTCACCATAAACTCATGAATGTATATAGTCTTATAAGATTGCACAGGCTGCAAGCTTAAAAACTAGCATTTTAGTTTATAAGTAGCTAAAAGTTAACATTTTGCACTTTTTGTGACTCAAAAGCTTGTTGAACTGGGCAATACAAACATAACTCTCATTCTAAAGTCATATTTGAAGATAATAAGTATGAGAAACACAATGTGGGCCTCTAAAAATGAAATGGTTTAAACTTTCATAGAGTGGCTCAGATGGAATGATATTTTACAGACTGGAATGGACTTCCCATAATCTAAACTTTAGTTCCCTGAAGACAAAATGATAAACAGTAAGTTTTATTTTCATATAGATGACTCTGTGTTTTATTGGCATTAATGGTTTTAGGTGCATATATGAACATCACATTATGTGTAGACAATAGACATCACAGTAAAAGCCTTCATTTAATTTAATCATTGTCATTATCACAGCCAGCTGTTCCTTACCAGAGATATACACATGTGAGTTGTTGTTGTTTATTTGCAAGTGGGTCTTTGATTCCCACTGCTATGATTGATATCAGTCTTCCAGTTCAATGTTAGTTCATTTTCCCTGTTCACTTCAACCAGTGGTGTGTCTGTCTGCCAAATGTTACTGTTCAGCTTGTAACCTATGTAACCTCCTAAAAATGTTGTCTTGATTGACCTGTCCATAAAACATGGGAGGGCTGACTGTGGCACAGCTGGGCTAACCATCACTACAAACCAAAATTACACATTTTGACTGCCTTGAAGTGCCAAGGAGGAAGGCAGAGTTATTAGAAATTATCACACAGGGGTCCAAAAAGAGACTTTATGACTAGTTGTTGTGGATTACAGGTAGAAACTTATTCAAGTTATATCACAGTATGGCAACATAAAATAAGACAGAATTGTTCACGCATTACCTTATCATTTACATTAGGATCTCTCCACTTACTCGAGAAAGCTGGTAATGTAGTCCTTGCTGCAGGCAGACCAAGAAAACGGGTTGGTATTGGCTGTTATATGAGCAGCCATCAGTTTGGCTGTCTCATGGCCTTTGGTACCACAAGAGTTCCCAATACCATCGTGGTTCATCCCAAAACTGAAACAAGATAAATAAATGAATAAAAGGAAATGTCAGATGGCATGGCTTTTTAGCTCCTGGGTCACACAATGACTACAGGAAACTTGAGTTGTGTAGCTCTAAACCAGCTGTGTGGACAAGATCTAAGGGTTAAGGGTCAAACCCTGTCTGGAGCTCAAGAAAGGCTTAATCACCACTGTGATTCCTGCTTGTCAATCAGCTTATGCAGGTCTGAGCAGGCCACAAGGGAGACTCACTATCACCAACAGAACCCCATCAACCCTTTTATCTATGGCTGAACTACAGGCTAAGCTCAAAAGGCACAGAAATGAAAGTCAATCAAAAATGTTAAACATGTAATATACATGTCTGGTAGAAGTTTTAAACTATTGTTTAAAACTGAGTTGGAGGTCAGGTTAGAATTATATATAGATTTGCTGTTAAACTCTCAAAATACAGATATTTAGTCCTGGTGTATGGTTAATACATTACTTGACCTACCCATATAAAACAAAAACTGGAACAATGGCTTCACAGTCAGCACAACTAATAAAGGGGATTTTTTTTCCCCACATCAGCTTCAAATGCAATTATAATTATTCAATAACAAAAGTGTGATCATTTTCATTTGAAATTACTTTATGGCATAAGACTGCTTTGACAACTTTGTGGATACAAATAATGACACTGTTCAACTTTTTATGTTTGTTTCCTTTTTCTTTTTTTTAAATATAGAAAACAAAACTAGTTACATAAGCCTTTGTCCTCCATTTGAAATTTGGAACTTATGGAACTGTTGTTTTATTCATAACAATACAGGATACTTTGTTGCTTCCAGAAGAAATTACTCAGCAACCACTGAAACTGCAATTTGATTAAATTTTTATCTGCAGCCCTAATGTCTGGATATTGTAGGTAAAAATATCTCAGGTTACAACAAGATGTCAAAGTTCACTTATATGTCTAATGTATATACCAAACCATGTTACACCGCCTGAACCTGTTTATCTAAGGCTGGCGTTTATGACATTTTACTCTGCACTGGAAATAAATCAACTTGCCTGAAACCCCCACACCACGCCAGAGTTTTTTTAATCCTCAAGAAGCAGCAGAGACTATTTTTACAACTGCCCCACAACAGAAGCAGACATGAGACATAATAAAGGAAATCGCCATCTTGCTGAACTCTCCAGACAGGGATACATAGACTAATACATCATCATTATTTTGCTTTATATTCAAGAAAAAGGAGCCAGAGGTATGCGGACACTAACATTTGCATGAAGAAAAATGTAGCGATAAAAGTTCAAGCAGTCTGCTGGAGGAGAAAAAGCATCGTACCAGCAGGTCTGATAGCCAGTATTTGTACAGCAGAAAATACTGAAGTATGATGGAGTTTGAAGATATGCTGAAAAGTGTAATCCTTCACGTAAGGCTATGTATATTATAAATCAAACTCACTTATGGCCAATCTCATGTGCTATGGTAAAAGCAGAACCAAGGCCAATGTCTTCATTGATGCTGCAGCTTCGCTCTGGCTCACACATACCAGCAACTGAGGCCAAACCTATGAAGTAATACAAAATCACCAAAAACAGAGTGAATATAGTGAATTTAAATTACAGTGGATAACTTATCAAACTATACATGTTTCTTTCCTAAAACTTTAGAACCTTTTAGGAACAGGACTCACAACTTCACAAGTCAGATAGGGAGATGCTTTTCTCTAAAAGGTTACATCTACAGGTGAGAGCAGTGTGGATCAAATTACACTGCAATAGGCGTGTGCTTTGCTGCTATGCATCAAATGAATCTTTAAGACAATCACAATCAAATAAGGAAGGAAGCACTTTGATGCAAACAAATCACTTTGGGGGAATATATAACTGGGGATATTAATTAATTAGGTAAAGGTGAAGTGACGCATGTAAGGCGTCTTCTCTGAAATGCCATGAGTGAAATGTGCATAATTTCTAGCCCCATGATTACTCAGTGACCCTAAAGGGTAGAGATGTGACCTGGGAGCATGATCCCTAAGGAGCAGAGGCAAGGTGAGACAACGAGGAAACAGAGCAGATGCCAGGGCAATTAAAGGGATGGGGGGAATGTGACAAATGCGGTCAATCTGTCAAACCAGCCCTGAAGTCACAATATTACCTCAAAGATATACTGTGGTGCCTGAGGGGGCTTTTGCTGCAGATAAGATGGGGGAAGAAGAATTGGGTAAGAAGATTTAGGGTGGGGCCAAGGGGTAACTTGAGGCACCCCCAGTTACTACCAAAATGTCACTAGTTTTATCTTCCTCCTGCAATCTCTTCCTCTTCCATTTTCCTTTCAACTTGTCCTCTAATGTCCATCTCCTCCTCTGTTACTACCCCCTGCTCTTTAAACTCCCTATTCTCCTCCCCCCATCTCACTGCTTGGCTGTCCAATGCATACCTTTTTCCTTTCTCAGTGCAAGAGTAAACACCTTAGACATTCTGAGGTTACAGGCCACCACCAGGGGCAAAGGAAAATGTCTTAATAAACTAGAGGCTATGAAGAAGTGTTGCATATTGTTGACCAGGTCTATGACATCCAAGAAACAGAAGTGCATTTAGAACAACACAAGTGTAAACATATACATCTGAATTATACATCACTGGAACTGTCTGGCTGTAACACTTTCGGTGGGGAATACAAAAATATGTGACAAATAAGTGGTTAATCTTACCTAATGTACCACACGGTTTGTTCTTATAGGTGCATATGTCATATCTGTGAGGCAAACAAATGAATTAAGTTAAATACTTTTGTTAATTTGATATTTTACACTTTTGAATTTTAGTGGTTTATATACAATTCCATCAGAGCATCAGTTGTCATATACTTTTTCATCTTTATTCTTGTTCACTCTATTCACTTTGATGAGTATTTTTTTGACAGTCCATTTCTCCTCTTGGACACTTCTGAAGTTGGCACATTTTTTACCCTATTTAGAAAATTTATTGTTACTTATATTACTTATTTCCCTAATACCCCAGTGTATCTTACTGAAGTGACAGGTCGGATTTCAAACAAACAACAATGCCTCAAATTCCTATTCAGACATTCTGACATGGAAACAACAAAAACGGCACAGTCACCACTATGGGGATAAATCATACACCACAAGCTTTTCTGCCAGAATCCAGGATATTGCTGTATGTTTATTGGGAAAAATCCAATATAATAGGAGAAGATAATCATTCAGTTTGTTTTTACTGACATACAATTGCAGGCAAAATGACATGGTGCTCTACCTAAACCAAAATAAAATGATAATGTGCATATTTAAAAAGGTACATGGCACATGATGGAAGTAAATGGAAATATGATCAAGACAAGAACAATCGTATTTGTTAAAACAAAGTGAATTTACTGTAGACTTCAATAAGATATTCCTGTACACACACTTACCTTGTGATTAATACGGCATTGTCATGATGAGCCATGCCATTTTCAGAGATACTGTTGCCATTGCTGTGATGAGACAGAATAGATTTCTGCCACTTACAGAAACTATCCAGAGACTTGTCAGCATGGTGGTTAATTTCTAGATTAGGCTACAAAAGGAAAAATTGTAAAACTGTATGCTTGCACTTTATAATATATGTTATTCATCAGTTCAATTAAAGCATTAAATAAAAAACATTGGAAGTGCTGCTGTAATAGTAACCATGAGTATAAATTTCATACCTGATCTTCTGTTAAAACAATTAAACGTGTGACTATTATGTTCACAACATTTCCTAGACTGGCATCACGGTAAAGTTTGGCAACCTGACCTCCAGAAAAGAATAAAAGGCACAAAGTCAGACATTTGTATCCTGAAGGTATAAAAAAATAAACATAGACATAAACAAAAACAAAACACTTACAATATTCATTACTGACAAAATGTAGTGCTCAATATCTTTTCGTCCATGATAACCGACCATCATTTTATCAGCAACAACTAGTGTCTCCACAAAGCGCTCAGTGCTGACAGAGCGCCTCGGTCTGTGGGTACTATTGGAAAACTCATTTTGTGAAGCAGGTGACTGGGGACCACTGGGCGATGTTCTTAACTGACAAGATGCACTGAGATCTGTGAACAACAGGTGCAGTCATTTAGCCCAATTTACAAAATATTACTCATCTTTGAAATAATGACACATACTGCTTCAGTAGGCAATATAGTGTTAGCCAAATATTTGAAATGCACACAGGGAATCTGCCCCTTTGAACCTTACTGCTCAGGCCTTTGCTTTATGACCCAGATGCTCTGGGAAAAATCTATAAGATGGTACATGTCAGGGCATGCAAGCTTCCTGGTGAAGACAGCCCTTTCTCCGTCTTACAAGACCATGGCCCAAATACCTGCCTTACCATCTGGTTCTTTTTTCCCCAAGTTGTCATATTTCTCCAAGCCCAGATTTTAACTTTAAAATCTAAAAATGTAGTAGTTGGTTTTGTTAAAATGCCAAAGATTTCTATAAATGTCTGGGTGAGTGAAATGTAAAGGGGCCTTTTACAGTTGATGGATGTCTATGACAGCCTGAAAGGTATCCAGACCAGACCTAAACACAGCACACAAGAGGCCTGGTCTTGTCTACCAAACACCAAACCAATGCTTCCTCTAACCAGCTATTTAAATCATTCTTAAGCGTCATTTCCATCCACACAGAGTCCAAACCCAGATGGAGGTGTACCAACCTGAAAGGCCACAGCTGAACTCCTGGCTATGCTCTTGTGGTGAGGGAATGGCAGACATTTTATAAATAACATGCTGCTGTGCTTCATCCAGGTTCCATTCAGGCGAGTTTGTCAAGGACATGTTCTGTAATGGCTCTATTAAATACTGTTCTTCCTCTGTTGTTATGACACCATGCTTTGGAGTAAAGAGAAAAAGAGAGAAGGGATCAATTCAATGTTTGTAAAAACATGTGAGTACTGAAATGTGTTATACTTATATTGTAAACTAGTACTTGTTTTTGTGATCTAATGTAGCCCTTCATGACAAAACTCAAAGACTGCTGTCCATAGATAAATTATCAGATAAGCAAATGAACCTCATTGGACTATGGACCATAAATCAAAGATTAGTCTGTATATATTTAAAACTGACACTGACAGTATCACTTTTGCAATATTTACTTTTACTTTTCTGCAGTTAAACCCGCTTTAACACTGTTAATTGGTCTTAATAAAAAATGAAATACTTTTTAGCTCTGGCAAGATAAAAATTTATCTTGCAAGTGCTTAAGTTACTTTCAAGGTTGTCTGATGAAACAGTTTGTTCAGTTTTGGTGTAGTCATATTATGTTTTTTTTCTGACCACATTGAAAATTATGTAGGCCTATATCTATACTTTTTATTGTCTATATTATGAAAGCCAAATATATTTTATATTTTTTTCTTTGTTATATTTGCATCAAGCTGCCAAAGCACATGTCTAATTTGAGAAATCCCCTGACACTGGCAATAAAGCTTTTCTGATTCTGTTCTATGCCAAAGATGTACCATGGATATGAATGTAAAAGGATTGTCACATGTGATTTTGTGACCACTTTTATTAGTTTCACAAGAAAAACTCAACCTCAAATGAGCAAAGGATACAATTTAAAGATACAATGTTGTGTATTTCGGGATTAGGCCAATTTGAGTTAAGTCAAGTCAAAAAGCATGTTATACTCACCAAACCTTTGCAGTTGCTGAGGGCCACTCTGGATGTACTATACTGATTTTGCAAGAATCCAACATAGTGACAGTTATCTACCATGTTATGCCGCCACTCCAACCCTTCTTTCCCCCAATACTCCACAGTAAAATGTTTTGACATCAAGTGTGGGTTGAGTGTTAAGTTTAAGTGAAAGTGCTTTCCATAAGCTGACAGGCTATAGAACAGCCTGGACTCAAAAGGGTCTTGCAGAGGTTGCGGTCCAAATGAAGGATCAGCCAAATCACGCCTCCATCGACCCGATTGTTTATGCTTCACAGTGTAGCTCAAGAACTTGCCATTTTCATCCACTCGTACTGGGACTGTCAACTGATAGTGCTGCAGATATGACAGGAACTCCTCTTTTACACAAAAAAGTACATACAAGTTGCACATGAGATTATGTAGAACACTTGAATAATGTAAGATTAACATTTACCTTACCTTGAGAACTGTGTGACAGCCTGTTGGTGTCTTGAAATTCAGTAGCAGCCATCACCATCAGGCTCAGTGTCCAAGTCAGCATCTTCCACAAAATTTCCATAATTCTGGAAAGTGTATGACATGGGTGGGACAGAAGCTGCTAGAGAAGGTCTATAGACAGGCAATCAGTTGGATGACACACCATAACAAGCCCATGGTCTGCCTCTGTAAATGCTATGAAGTGTCTGTGGGCCAATATTTAGCTCATCTAGGGCTCAGATTTCTTCTGAAAGCCAAAGCTTCCAAGTCTTATTGGCGTCTAAAGTCATGTCTGGGAGCAACTCTGTAATCCACCAGAGACAGCCGCCTTTGTTGGGTAGTCCTTTAAAAGGGAAGGTTGTCCTGAACAATCCACCTGAGTTTCTGTGAAAAGATTAGATGTAGATGTTAGTTAATCTTGGTTTCTGTGGCTATTTGCAGGTTGCTCGGGTTTAATTGGTTCTTTACATCGCTGAGTAACAGAGTGCTAAATCTGTAGGCTAAAAGTGTTAGTAGGTTGTTCGATTAATAGGCTATTCGACTGAGAGCCTGTTGAAATAATTACTTCTAGGCTATTCTACAAATGTGGAAAAAAACAATAAATTATGTTTATTTGCTTTAAAAAAAAAAAAAGTTGGAAAGGCATACAGCGTTCACAGATAAATCAGGCTATAACAAACGAAGATCACGGATCAAGATTTAATGTCAAGTTACTACTTTCTGAGCACTGTATATTTCTCCAGCTCAGACTCGCCTAGTCCAGACAGCAGTGCTTCCCACTTGGCCACCATGACCCAGACATTGGCAGGCAGCCCGTAGGAACACCGGCATAAACTCAAACAGAGCTGCAAGCCTGCAACCACAAGAAACTGCGTGACATCACATCAGAGAGCTTGATTTGTTTGAAAAGATGAGTCCCCTGTCTGGTGTACTCGGTAGAGTTAACCAGAGATACAGCCCTGAACCAATCTTTAACAATTTGCAGCTGAGAGAGCTTAAAGTTAACAAATAATAAAAACGTCATCTTTGTGATGCATGCTATAAAAATACAGTGACTCAACTTAAAAAGGCTCGTTGATGGTTATCCAAACATGGTAATACTGCAAAAATAGAGAGAGAGTTAAAGACACAGGCCTACCAAGATCAACTTCATCGTCATCTTTAGTCCAAATGCACAGGATGACCACAGAACAAAAGCTTTGCGCTCCGCAGATGTAACGCACTTCCAACGCTGCGTTCAGTCATCCTCTGAAACCGCAGTGTCGCTCTCTTCCGATCAGACGCCCAGACACTGAACTCAAAAAGTTACTCAGCTTTTAAGTCTTGGATGTAGTCCAGCAGAAGGCTCTATTTTCAGCCTATCAGTCGTCTTTATAGTCTTGACTTGGTCTGGTGTGCTCGGGGGGCTTAAGAAGTTAGTTTAGGTCGTAGAGAATTGTCAAAGTACGTGCACAAGCGCAAAACTTTGTCTTGAAGCTGCTCCTTGCACAAACGTTGCAGAGACCGGGTTATGTCCCTCTCCCGGACACCTTCAAATTAGCAGCTTTTTCAGAGGGAGGTGACGTCAGTGCAGATGTGCCTCTTCATCAGCTGTGCGCATGTCCATCACTGTTACTCACCTAGGCTGTTGGTGCTGCAACTTTTACTGTTAATAGTAAAACATCCTTCAAGCCAACTTATACAACTGGGCTATAATAACATTTAAACGCGAAATTTCAACGTTTTAACCTATTTCTTTTGAGCAATAGTTTAGGTAGAAAATGGTTATTCATCAGAGCAGTTATATTAACACAGCTATATTGGACAGCGTTTTGATGTCTGTCGCGCTCGCACGAAGATTTAAAATCGACCAGTCTTTGTTGGAAATAGAAAATGCTGCTCATTGTTGGCTGGGTCTTCAACGTGTTGCTTGTTTTATGGGAGAGAGACATCTTGTGGTATAAATTATAGTGACAGCATTTCAATAACACATTTAAGTATAAAGGATCTGAAATGGTCCCATGTTTATTTGTTTGTTAATTATACCAGTTATAATACAAGTAATTTGCCGCTGACAGAAAGCAACACACCAACTTGAAAATGTTATGGCAAGAGAAACTGATGCCAATAAAGCTGTTTCAATCATCTTGCGCCCCACTTAATTGACAAATTCCTTATACTTAACCTTTACGTGCATTTTGTACAATTTAAAAAACTTAGATGCACCAGTTTTATCCAAGTTTCTTATTTATTAAATGAAATCATGTGTTGCCTGTAATGAAAACATTCAACAAATAAGTCTAAGTATGAAATTGCAAAAGCTTAATAAACAAGACAAGGGATATAATGAATTCCATTTCTTTTAAACCATACAAGTGTCAAGTTGATTAGGTCACATGCAATGGTTTTGTATATCATAAAATAATGACCATACATAACTGCGAGCATAAAATCCAGGGATTGCTGATAGAGAATATTTTTTCACTTGGCATGACAAATAAAAAGGGAGATTTAAAGTTGGTTACTGTATAAAGAATTACTGAGTCATTTGTGACTCCATTGCTTGTGTAGCCCATTCAGGAGCTGCTTGTCGGATCTTCTCCAGCAGGTTGTTCACTTGGAAACAAAGAGACTGTATCTGTTTGTCCCAAGTGGGAAGGGGTTCACGGGCTGTCAAAAGACAATAAAGTAATCATATCAAACATATTTGCATTGCATACTTTGTACAGATACATTTGTACACTTACTTTCAAAGTGTACAATGCCATCAATTTGATCAATGAAGCCATTCATGCGCCCTTCAGTAATCATTTGAGAAGCTATTTTCTCAGCCTTTGAGGGAAAAAAGAGAAACTGAAATATCTCAATATTTTAAACAAAACTCAATATTTTATTTTAAGACATTGTTAGATGCATATTTTTGTATTGCTTACTTCTTTTCTGTCTTACCTTTGCTGGAGGGATTTCCAACAATGCCCCTAATTCTTCAAAAGTTATGTTATTGTAGAGTTTGCTTGCTGACAACAAGTTGTGTTCAATAACAGCTCTGTCCAGTATGCTGGATCCTAAAAAGAAAATGTTAAATTGCAGACCACACAGCTTCAATTTCAAAATTCAGGTTCTGTGTCAAAATAAGTTCATAGCACACACAAGTTCTAGCCAGAATCAAGTGTGGCTAGCACTATGTACAGTACATATAAATTAACTTAACCAGTTTGTCCAAGTAGTTCATTTCAATAAAATAGAAACAATACAGAGAATTTACTCACCATCTGCTGTGGTGGCTTTCTGATGGGGCATGAGCATTGCAGCAAACTCCTGTAGTTGATTTCCTCGAATAATGCGATCCAAATACATTTTTTCCAGTATACCATAGGCCGCCAATTGTTGGCAGCGTTCATCTTTGAACAGAGTGGCCAGCATGCGAGAACGCTGCTGACCTTGAACATAGAATATGCCAAATATTAAAGTTAAATGTTGTCTATCATTTAGTTTGCACAAGTTTACTTTCACTCAATCATTAAATCTGAGGTATTTTACTTCTGCGGGGTATAAACTGAAAAACACATACCATATTTAGATCACCATGTTACCTTTTATTGTTTGAAATAAAATCTATAATCACCTCTTCAGGCATGTTTTTGTTGAGGGAATATGGTAGAAAGCTAAAAAAAAAAAAAAAAAGAAGAAATAATACCCCCTATTTAAAGTATTGCATTAATTACCTGCAGAGGCCAGTATAGTACAGTTGAGAGCATGTTTTAATGCTTCCAATCGTTCACTTTCATGGACTATTGACTTGTAAGACAACTCATTGTATCTTTGTGCAGCTTCGATAAACTTCCTCCTGAAGTCTAATACTCTGGCATAGCACACCTAAAACAACATAAAATTACATAGCACTACTTTCCATATAAATACACATACTTTTCAAATTTTACCTTGTAATGGATCTGCAATTGCTCATTTGAAGACTCATTTTGTAATAATGAAGCTCTGTTTATGTAGGCTTCAGCCTGTACTGGATCGTCATCTTCCAAGTAAAGTCTTGCAATTTTCAAGTATGTATCCAACTTGTAGTCAACATTATACTGTCTTAAAGATACAAAATTATATGATTAGAGCATGCAAAAACAATTTATTGTAATATACTGCAAGCAAACTTATACAACACTTACTTTTGTCCGGTTTCCAAAGGAATTCCAACTAATACCTGAGCAGCATTTCTCCAGTCTCCTTCCTTTTCATAAATGGTTGCTAAGTGTTGTCTGATTGAGGCCACCTAGCAATGCATGCATAATGCATAGTTGAATTAGTTATACTTTTACTGCACATTCTTCTTTATATATTATCATGTGACTCCCGTGATGTTTAATTAGTTGAGTTTACTGGGCCCATGGTACATGTTCAAAAATATTTTTTCTCAATAACCATTGAACAAAAACAAACAAAAAAAAAACATTACTGCTGACAAGTTGTGTTTTGCACAGATCACTAGATTATTATTACTATAAAGGACTCATTCATGCATTTTCATCCTAGTTGAAATTTTAATTTGATGCTCTGACTAGGTCCCTCTAAGCTGTCATTTTGGATCATTTTCATCAAAGCTTTTCAAAAGATTGTCAGTGTTTTTCTCCAGAATTTCAAGTTCAGTCCTTTTATAAAAAAGTGATATTTACCCAGAACTTTTAGCTAAACATGACGACTTTTCCCTATGCTTGCAATAATAGTGTCATATCTCTCAGTCAAAATGATTGTATTTGAAGATGGTTTAAACCCCAAATTGTCTGTGTCCAGATGTGTCTGTGATAGGACACAACTAGTGTTGACATTTACCTGTTCCTCAAAGGAGATCACCCTTGGCTGAATTCTTTCCAATGTAAAATGATAAACTCCTTTTGCGGTTGCATCTGGTAGGTTTGGCAGATGGGTGCAGAAGTCTGTTAGTAATTGCCTTGAGATTACAAGACTGACATTTTCATTGACCACTGAAAAAAAAAAAAAATGTTTCACAAACAAGATAAACACACCATAGTGAGAAACTTATAAGGCATTCTTACTTGCTTCAACAAATGCCTTCAGGGACTCCAGCTGGTCAGCACCTGTTAACTGAATAGCTTTTTCTAAAATTTGACGATATCTAAATTGAAATACACATACACATTTACATTATTAATTGCCACTGCGGTTAGACCAATTTAACAAGACAAAACATAAAAATATAATAACACTGAATTTTCCAACTTAACTTCACTTCTCTTTTAAAGAAGATAAGTTTTTTTTTTTTTTTTAAAAACACAGGAAAAGTGAGAGCTTCAAAGGGTTCTCTTAGTGATAAATACTGAACAGGTGCTCCCCCAAAACAGGGCTCAAACGCTAGCAAACCGTGAAAATGACCATGCTTGTAACATTAGTACTAGTACTTTATGGTTTTGTTGGGTTTTTTTTTTTTTTTTGGTTTGTTTGTTTTGTTTTGTTTTTTTATCTGAACGTTTTTATCCAAGCCTTTTAGTGTGCAGCGATTGAAACGAGTTAGCTTAGCTTAGCTACTGAGACGTTTATATTCAGTCGGGCTAGGTACATGCTATATATATATATTGTGTGTGTGTATACTAACTTGGCCGCTAAGTCTTTATGGGATCCACTTGAATTCATCAGCTGTGAGAGCTCCTGTTTCACTTCAGATGCCATTATTTTCCCCGCTAGATATTAACAACAGCTAGCTACGGTGCAGGGTGTCCTTCCTCTGACGTTAATCTGAGTTCCGACAGGCTGGTGTAGTGCTGCCCCTCATGGTTAATTATGCGACATTACACCCTTGGATACAGACCATCAGTGTGGTGAAGAAAGCAAGTAGGCCTACATGAATAAACAGTGTTGGGAAGGTTACTTTTAAAATGTATTCCCCTACAGATTACAGATTACATACCTCAAAATGTAGTTTGTAACGTAATCCATTAAATTACTTAAAGTGAGTAACGTAATCTGAATACTTTGGATTACTTGATTTGCTGTAGAGAAGCAAAGACGAGAAAATCTTCAGATAAGATAAAAATCCCAGACTTTACTGAACCAAATTAAAAATACTATTGATAGAAGAGGAGGAGACACGACGGCGCAGCATGATTTAGTCCTGTTAAATCCTGGTTTAGTCCTGGTTTAGATCTGGTTTAGACCTGGTTTTAGACCTGGTTTTAGACCTGGTTTTAGACCTGGTTTAGACCTGCTTTAGACCTAGTTTAGACCTAGTTTAGACCTGGTTTTAGACCTGGTTTAGACTTGGTTTTAGACCTGGTTTTAGACCTGGTTTTAGACCTGGTTTAGACCTGTTTTAGACCTGTTTTTAGACCTGTTTTTAGACCTGGTTTTAGACCTGGTTTAGACCTAGTTTAGACCTGGTTTTAGACCTGGTTTTAGATCTAGTTTAGACCTAGTTTAGACCTGGTTTTATACCTGGTTTAAGACCTAGTTTAGACCTGGTTTAGACCTAGTTTAGACCTAGTTTAGACCTGGTTTTAGACCTGGTT